ACACATGTATGTTTTTTGTTTATATTGTTTCCAGTGTAGGTATTCAGATAGACCATATAAAGATAGAGGCTATTGTGAGTTGGACACATTGACCTTTAGAGTTGAGGCAATTTTTGGGGTTACCTTCTCTTCATATGAGATTCATCGGGAACTTCTGTATTTATAAATTTCTTGATAAAGTTTTTGAAAGGAGAGAGCTTCAGTAGATGAAGGCGCTAAAGCCAGCTTAAACATCCTGAAGAAGACGGTGTCTTAGGCCTGGGTGTTAGCACTATCATATTTCAGTCCGCTGTTTGGGTTGGAAAGTGATTCTTCTAATGCGGGGATTGGAGTTTTGTTGAGCTATGGAGGACACCCCATAGCCTTCTTCAGTGAGAGGTTGAGTGACTTTAGGAGGAAGTACTCTACATGTGATATAAAGTTTGATGTTATTTTAAGAGCTCTTAGTCATTTGAGTCAATGTTTGTTGACTAGTGAGTTTACCTTATTCACATATTGTAAGGCTTTATGGTTCCTGAACAGTCAGAGCAAGCTATAGGGTAGACATGCTACTTGGGCCGAGTTCTTGGCATCATTTCAATTTATTCTCTGGCACAAGATAGGCTGTAATAATTGAGTAGAAAATGCCTTGAGTTGTCGCCACTTATTGATCATCTACATGCAGACTAGAGTTGTGGGATTTGAGGTGGTGAAGGTGTTGTACAAGGCAGATGAGGACTTCAGAGAGATTTTGTATCAGTGTTTGGCGAGGCCTGCAAGACAATATCACATATCTGATTAATATATTTTTCATTAGAACATGTGCTCCCGGATGCTCATTGAGAGTCCATCATACGTGGGAGTCACAGTGGGGAATTAGGTCATTTTGGCAGAGTCAAGACCCTCACAATTGTTAGCGAACATTTTTTCCGGCCTAGATTGACGATGGTTGTAGAGAGGCAGGATCGCTATACACGTTATTACCAGTACCAATGGCTCTATGGTTGAATTTTAGTATGAAATTCACTGTGGGCCTTTCTAGGACACCATAATAAGAATTCAATGATGGTAGTGTGACGTGCTGGTAGAACAGCGGCTGCTGTGGGCCTCAAAACAACAAGGCTACATCGTGCAAAACCCCACGCGAGCTTCGCGCGGTGTTGGAATCTCACAAATTCACAAGAAGCGGTATTGGTCGCGAGAAGATCGCAGAACGACGGGAGAAGGATCGTGATGCCGCTCGTAGAAACAGGGGGTCTAAAACTCGCCATCAACGATGTGGTAGAGTTGCAGTTATGTTGGTGGAAAGGCAACAGAAGTAGAGCCGACAACAATCATCTTTCAAGCAGCAACCTTCATATAGGCTGTCATCAACAATTATCATGGCCGACAGGGATATCTTGGGAGACACGGGCAAGGCCAGACAATGGAATGACACTACGGATCATAGAAGAAAGAAACAAGAGGACAACTCTTCCAGCATTGTGCCAACAGGAAGTATTGTTGATGTCACGACTACGACCACATTACCTTCAGATACCCTACGAGCAGGATAATCACACTTAATGATCAAGGCGTCGTAGAAGAAATTAGTGATGAAGAGAAAACTGATGAACAGGGTGAGGAGTATTAGCTTTCCCCAAATGAAGGAGTGGCTCCCATGGTTCGATGAATCCTATAAACCGAGGACACAATATTTGCAGTGGCTTCACCACAACATATTCTGCACCCGCTGCACAATGAACGAAAATATATACAGTCTCATCATCGATGGCAGAAGCTGCAAGAATGTGGCGTCGACACAGGTGGTAAAGAAATTAGGAATCACAACTCAGAGGCATTCCCAATCATATTTGCTGACATGGCTGAAGAAGAAGGATCGGGTCAGCATCGACCGAAGATGCTTGGTAGAATTTTTGATCGGAGGTCAGCTGCAAAACTATGTGTGGTGTGACGTGGTCCCTATGGATGCATCACTTCTTGTTGGGACGACTGTGGCAATATGATCGAAGGATTCAACACGACAGATATAAAAACATGTTTTCCTTCATCAAGGGTGGAAATACTTCTCCGTCTTTTCTTCGACGGAGTATAAGGTCACAGGATCCCTTTTCAACAAAATGGCGTCAGTGGCACCAGGTTTAGTGATGACTACAGACGGGAGGATAGAGACACCCACCCCCATACAAGACAAATATGGGTAAGGTTATGTCAGGTTGACACCGTACTAGCAGCACCACCGCCGTGTGAGAAGGGCATGGTTTCTCTCATTATACACAGTTGAATTGATCATAGGATACTTTGGGAAGATTCACCAGTATAAGCATTGTGCACGATCTCAGAACAGATCGGTATGGACATTTGCTCGCAAGATAGGGAAGATCCTCAGATTCCTCGAGAGGCAGTGCAATTGTCAATGGGATCCAGGGCGGCTGACAACGAAGCATAAGCTTCGACCAATGAAGTTGAAGCTCTCCCAACCTCAGTCGATTAGTGCTCGAAATCGGGCGCAGAACAGTGCTCTGAGCGGAGCGCCTAGAAACAGCAGAGCCGAAGCCCCGCTACATCGTGCGAATCCGTGTGAAGCTTGGCGCAATGCGAGAATTCTACGAATTCGCGAGAAGCAGGACGGGTAGGGGTGTAAACGAGGTGAACACGAGTGAGCCCAGGCTCAACTCATGTTCGACTCGTTTATATTTCGAGCTTAAAAAGTGCGTTCGTGTTTGACTCATTTTCTTAAAGAGCCGAACACTAGCTGTTCACGATCAAAGAGTTGTTTTGACAACCCTAATTTCTTAGCCATAAGATGTTAAGAGCTGGGGCAAGATTTAAAAATTATTGTTTATATTAAAACATCATTTGAATCTAATTTAATACTTTTTATTCTATCTTCTTAATTAATACTTTTAATTGATTATATATATATATACATATATAATTTCGCGCCAAAACGAGCCAAACATAAACGAACAAATATTTGTTCGTGTTCATCTCGCTAACTTAGCAAACGAGCCGAACACAAGCTTCTTAAAGTGCCGAACACGAGTTGTTCGCGAACGAGTCGTTTGACAGCCCTAGGGACAGGTTGTTGTGGGTTCGTAGAACAACAGGAAAAGGATCGTGATCCCACACGCAGGAACATGTTTTTTCGTGAATCTTTATGATCCAGGGCTACTTCATGCTCCTTCCACACTTGTCTTCTTTTAGAAAAGTTTTTTTTCTAGATTCTTCTTACCTCCCCACTCTTCTTCCTCGTGTAGAACTAGAAGGCTATAAATAGCAGTCCCCGGTGTGTGTGGCTGAGTGTGTTTAGTTTTGGATCTTCTGTGTGGAGTCTTCTTCCCCTTTTGGGTTATCCTCCAAGGTGGTGGTGCTTCGGTTGTATTCCAACCTGTCTCTTTCACTCGCCTTAGCCGCTGACCACCATAAGCTTCTCCCAAACTACCACACTACCGCTGCCGACCACCTCCTCTTGCTGCCCCTACAGTTCTGCATCTTCCCCTTGCTACCATCAACACTCTGTTGCTGCCACCTCCCTAGACAATCATCCCGACCCACCTCGCCGATCTCGACCACCCATTGGAATACATTTAGGAGTGTTTGCGTGTGTCATTTTGTGTTTATGTTGTTGTTTCTATTCGAGTCATGTTGTAACTCTATTTTAATATTAATGAAAGTTTATTTT